GTCCTTTTTCAACCGAGCAACTTTCAGAGCTACTTGGTCCTGATGGATTTGAGCACGTGCTGCAAACAAGAGGGTGCGTCGACGGTCAACGACATTTGTCCGTTCCCCAACAGCTTCCACATTGACGTCTGGGCACCGAAAGACGATCCGAATGAGCCACGTGGCGGCGGAATCATGCAGTTGCGGGTGATGCTTGCTGCAGACACTGCTCAAGACCTGCAGAAGTGGCTGTCTGTCATTAATTCCACGTCGAGACAGTTGTGCACGTGGAGAAATCCGATTCAATTGTGAATTCATTCTGTTTAACTTTTTTGTCTGTAATACAAGTGATTTCTAATACTTTTTCTGTGTGTTTTATAGATGCAACCTTCTCCCCACCCACCCAGTTTTCCTTCTGTTCTCCCTTTTGTAATGGTTTTAAAACAAATAATCATGATTTGCTGTGAATAAACTGGAATGTCACTCTCTCTGTTTTTTCCTGTCCTTTTCCTCATTTATTCGCATATCACCCATTCATTCATTCATTCATTCATTACTGCCCCCTCTCATTACTCTCTCAACAAATTACTTCTCCAATTTCTGTGGATTTTTACTCGTGAACAAAAAGAATAAAATGATGATGCAAACATATACACTTTCTCATGTTTTTTGTTTGTTTGACAAGAATTCTCAAGTGGCCACAGTGACCTGGCTAATGAACTCAAGAAAACACTTTGAATTTAGGGAAGACGTCATAATTTGTCTTCTAAAATTATTAGAAATTACAAAACAACGTCATATGAATTCGGAGGGGTAGAATTCAGAAGACGTCATTGGGAACGGATAGAACTCATCGTGGGAAATGAGAGTTTGTCGTTAGGGGACAAAGTGATAGCATGTTTAATGTAAACCAATGGTGTCAAAATTTCGTATAAATATTCTGTAAAAGATGAAAAAACTCGCAATGTTCCCAGCTTCATTCGGCAAGTACTCACTTGCTAGAAGTTGCTTCTTTTGCTAAAGCGGATCTTTTGCTATTTGACGTTTTCTCATTAAAAAAAAATTTTTGAAAAAAAAAAAATTGGGTGGTTCAGTTGCTAGTAGAATGGATTATTTGCTAATCCAGCGCAAATGAGACACAATAGCAAATGAGAAATAGCAACTTTTTGTAAAATAGCAACTGAGCAACAATTTCTAGCAAAAGAGCTGATTCTAGCAACTGAGTATTTGCCCCTTCACTCTGTAGTTTCCTTAGATGAGCGAGTTATAAAAATCTTGAGTCATTCAAAGCATCCAATTTTCATCAGTAAAAATTGAGAAAATGAGTACAAATTGAGCTGATGAGTAATCGTATTTATGTTCAGGGAAAAATCTATGGAGCTTCAATTTCAGATTCTAGAAAAGAAAAGGTACAAAATATAGAGACGGCTACAAAATTCTTATTCGAATTAGTGGAATAATTCTGACTCAAAGAGGACAGCCACTAAAAAATGTTCTCGAAATTTTTTTTAATGAAATCGGATAGAGCTCGGCGAGTTATATTGAAAATCTTCTTGGAGGTATCGTCGTTTCATTACGGTTTCCGCAAATCTTAGTATGGTTTTGAAGACATCGTACAAGCGAATATTTTTCTCATGTGGGGTTGGAATTCACTATAAATTGGTGGTCTAAAAGTAGCTGTCCCTGTGAGTGGATTCTGAAATATCTAGCCCTCCCTGGAGCCTGAGAGTCTGGGAATCTTCCTTTGAAAATCTGACCCGCTCCTTTATTGGGAATGTATTGCTGATGTGGCGTTTTTCAGATGGAGGTTTCCAGACTCTCAGGCTCCAGTGAGGGCTGGAAATTTCAGAGTTCACTCACAGGGACAGCTACTTTCAGACCAGTAACTTAAAGAAAATTTCTAACCCACGTGAGAAAAACATTGTTAGCTTACAGTTAGACGTTATATAACTTGAGGACCACTGTTTCTATCAGAAAACGGTTAACAAGAAAGTTGTTGAAATTTATGTACTCAATAGCTTTTTAGTTTAACATTTTTCATGAAAACTTTTCAGTTTTGAGTTAGATATTAACGTACAGAAAGGCCGAAAGATGCGAAAAAAACACTGAAAAAAAGACGAAGTGAAGTGCTGTCACGTCCGACAAACCTGTCAGGATTGGATTTTCCGACCATTCATCCAAGAGGATTTTCAATGTATAACTCGCCGAGCTTTTTGGGCATTTTTTTGTCTCTTCAAAAAAAGAGAAGCTCTTTTCCGGCTCGCTACCGTTTTTTCTCTCAATTTTCCCCATTCTCTTTTTGTTTTATTTTTCTGTTTCCAATTCTCCATTCTATTCATTCTCTATTTTTGCATAATGAACCGCCACTCTGTTTTTAAAGCTGCTCTCCTTCCTTGCCCCCCTATCCGCCCCGTTTTATTGCCCTAAAGGCAAAAAGAGAGAGCCATGACTGAAAAGGAAATGAGTGTGTGTCTATGTGTCTGAGCTCTCTCTTTCTCCTTTTGAAGAAGAGGAAAAATCGATAGTGTGTTGAAATGTGAGAGACGGAGAGAAAAGGGTGGGGTTGGGAATGGAGGAGCACGTCATCAGCAGGAATTGGAGCACATGTGGGGCCCCCCGCTCCGGACGGAGAAGAAGGCGATTCCTTTCCCATTTTTAATTTTTAAGTGGATTTTTTGGGGGGATTTAGGTTTATGGGATATTTTTTTTTTTTTGTATTATTTGGTTTTTGATGCTTGAAATTTTGATGGCGGAGCCTTTGAGCAAAAAAAACTTTGAAAGAAAAAAAATAATTAAAAATTCATGGGAAAATCAAATTGAAGGAAGTTTTCGACATTGAATTCTTCCAAAAAAAAAAAAAGACTTTTCCGTATTTTTAGCGGGAAAAATTGCATTTTGAGCTTCCTAGTCTGGTAGATACTCGATTGCTATGGATGTGATCAACTGCTATGTAGTAACTGCTATTGTCTCAACTGCTATACTTGACTCTTCTGCTACGGATCTACTGCTATTTTCAAAATTTTCATAGCAGTTGAGACCAGGGCTGTGTGAAAAAAAAAGTACGAAAAAATCGAAAAACGTTTTTTTTTGAATTTTTCAGGACGAAAAAATCGAAAATCAAATGTTATCGAAAATTTTGGTTCGAAAAAAATTTGAAATTCTTCTTTTTAAACTTTTCAGAGCGAAAAAATGAAAAATGATTTTTCGGAATTTTTCAGATTTTTTTTTTGAAATTTTTCGTTTTTTTTTCATGAAAAATGGGTAAAAAAACGGTAAAAACTGAAAACTATACAACTAAAAACCGGCTTTTTTTTGGAAAAAAGGTGAAACATTTTTCGGAAAAAAACGGAGAATACCGGAAAGTTTTCGCCCAGCCCTGATCTAGACATCAAAAGTGGCGAAAATAGCAGTTGATATATAGCAGAAGAGACAAATATAGCTGTTGAGACACTAGCAGTTACGACGTAGCAGTTGATCACCCCCGTAGCAGTTGAGTATTTGCCTCCTAGTCAGTGTTGCACGGAACACGAAAAAAATTTCCGCCGGAAACGGAAACGGAAATATTTCGAAAAAAAATTTCCGTCGGAAACGGAAACGGAAATTTTTCAAGAAAAAATTTCCGCCGGAAACGGAAACGGAAATTTTCCGGAAAAATTTCCGCGGAAACGGAAACGGAAACGGAAATTTTTGAAGCAACATGAAAAAAAGGCAAAAAAGGTTCCGAAATCCTGTGCTTCAGAAAAAAATGGTGTCATGAAAGCATTTAAAAACGTGAAATAAACAGATTTTTGGAAAATAGCATCGAATTACCTCAAAAAAAAATTTTTTTTTTCGGAAATTTCCGTTTACATTTCCGGCGGAAAAGCAAATTTCCGCCGGAAACGGAAACGGAAAATTTCCAGAAAAATATTTCCGCCGGAAACGGAAACGGAAATTTCCGCCAAAAAATGCCGCGGAAACGGAAACGGAAACGGAAACGGAAATTTCCGTGCAACACTGCTCCTAGTCCACCTGCACCCTGTAACCCCACCTTAAAAGACGGAAATTCACCAACAAATCACACACCTTTCACCCTTTTTCCGTTTGTTCACCCGTGGCCTAGTGGTTAGCGCTGCTGTTTTTTAAACATTGAACGCGGGTTCAATCCCAACTGGGGTCAAATCATTTTTTTCTTTTTTTTTACTTTTTCTTCGAGCCTCTTTCCCGTTTCCGGTCCATTTTTTCTCATTTTCCCGTTTCCGGTGTAATCTATTTTCTGATCAAATAAGGTTTTTCCACTTCTGACACCCACTTTGATTGGATTTTTTGATTAAAAATTTGATTATACTGGTCATTTTTTCCAGAATTTTCCGTCTCAAACATGGAAGAAGATGTGGCCGACTCTTGTGAGCAGACACCGGTTAGTTTTTGTCCTTCTAGAAGTTTCTTCGTTGTAGAGCTTCCTTATTGGAAAGGCTTCCTAATCTTCGAAAAAAAAATCCTGTTGAAGCGCCGGTGGCGCGACTAGAATTTTTCATAAGAAGGTTTCGTGGAAATTCAAATTCTGAGCATCTCGAATTACTAATGAGTTTCCCACATAAATCTCTTCATTTTCAGACGAATTCCACGTATGGAACTCCGGTCCGTGTCGCCTCTCCGATCCTCCATAGTGATGTAATTGACGATGGGATCACCTCCACAACAGTGGAAAATTCATTATATTCGAAATGCAATTCGTTGATTCAGGAGAAGGAGATGGAGAGGTTAGTGGGAGTTTCCCTGGTTTATGCTGACTTTGAGCAGGTGCCACACGGTCAAAAAAAGTTTTCCGGCACTGAAAAATTTTGGGTGTATTCAGCATAGCTGGAACTTCATTTTTGTAGTTGATAACTTTTTTGTACAATCACTCCCCCGGCAGGTAGAGCTTGTCCAAAAGAAGTACCTCAGAAATCGCAGGGTCTTTGATTGGACGAGCTGAACTCTATCTGCCGCGAGAGTGGTTGCACAAAAAAGTTGTCAACTACAAAAATGAAGTTCTAGTTATGCTCAATACGCTCAAAATTTTTTAGAGCTTTAGAAAAATTTTTGACTGTGTGGTGCGCATTCAAAGTCAGACTAAATTGACTGAAGTCAACTGAAAAACGCTTGCATATCTCTTGCTCACAATAAAAATTTCCAGATTGGAAACCCAAAATGCTGAATACCGGGAAAAGCTGTTACGCACAATTAGAGAACGCGATTTGAATGAAGAGCTGTTGAAGTAAGTATTTTCCCCGATTTCTCCAAAATTAACATACTTGTGAAATTTAGGCCCGGCCCGGAGGCCCGGGTTCAAAAAATTAGATAGAACATTTTTCATTTTTTCACTGAAAAATTCATCAAAATAGTGTGAAATGCTTCAAAAATTCAAACTACTGTTTTTATGCTCAATATATCTCTGGAGCACGAAATTCGGAAATTTTTTTTCGATTTTTCAAAATTCCCTGAAATTTTTCGGGCCGAGCGGGCTTCCGGGCCTTGGAAATTGGTGGGAAGGCCGGGCCCGTAAAAAGAATAAAAATTAGCTCCTATAAATAATTGCAGAAACGTGCAAAACCAGCACAAAAAGGATCTCGAAGGACACACGCAAAGGATTAGGCAGCTAGAGAGCCAATTGAAATCCAACACCGACAGATCACTGGCACAAGAGGCACATTTCAATGTGACCACCAAGGAGATGACACTCAAATTTAATAGTGCACTTCAGCAGGTAGGCCTTGTCGGAATTTTATCCGAGTTGTTTTTTTTCGAAAAAAAAATCTTTTTTTCCGATCCCAAACAATCAAAAACCACCATCCCTTCATTTCCAGGCGACCAAAAAAGCGGAACAATGTGAGAAAGAAAAGAACGAGGCGGTGGTGAAATACGCGATGAGAGAGGGAGAAATGATGAAGCTGCGTGAAGAAATAAAGACAAAGGATAGTCATTTGAAGGCGTGTAAAGAGGAGCTGGAGGCAGGGAAGAAGGCGCAGAGTCAGGAGAATTTGGAGCACTTGGTGAGCATTCAACTGCTTTTTTTGACTCATTTGCTATAGACCAAGTGCTATTGAGGAGCCTGAGGAGTAACAGTTCAGACAGATAGTGAAAATTGGAAAAATAGCAAATGAGCCAAAAAAGGCAAAATGGAAAAAGAGAACGAAAGGATTTTTCAGGAAAAGACAGTCCAAAATTTGAAAGTGGAGATTGAGAAGTTGAAGCATGAGCGGTTCGATTTTGAGAATCGGATGAAGATTGCGGAGAAGAGAGTGGAGGTAAGTTTTTTTCAGAAAAAAAATTCCGGAAATTTCCGCTATTTTTCGATAAAAACTAGTAAAATATTCCGTTTCGGACAAAAAATAACTGGGAAAAAATTTCGGAATTTCCATTTTGTCAAATTCATTTCCGTGTTGCAGCAACTTTTGGAGTTTCGGAGTTTCAGAATTTCCGGATTTTTTTTCACGGAAAATTTCTCGGAAAAATTTCCGGAATTTCCGTTTCCCAGAAAAAAATTCAAAAAAAAATTTCGGAAAAATTGGCGCTCTCACTTGAGCAAACCCAGAACTCTAATAGAACTGTCCCATATCTCAAAAATGGGTGGAGCTAGAAAAAAGTTGTCGACTGCAAACTTGCTTAAAATTAAATTTGGAAAAAGTTTGCAGTTGACAACTTTTTTCTAGCTCCTCCCACTTTTGAGATATGGGACAGTTCTATATCGACACAGTTCTATTTCGAAAGAGCGCCGAAAAATTTCCGGAATTCCGTTTTCCCGGAGAAAAAACCCTGAAAAATTTTTTCCGAACCCAACCAGGAAATCAAAATAAGAACAACAATATTATAGACCCTCACAACGACCCTAACCGAGTCGAAACAACAAGGAGAAATGCTTCGAAAGCAGTTGATCAACGCAAAAGATGATAAGCATATCATTCAGGTAGGTACTCAACTGCTAGTGTCTCAATTGCTATGCTGTAATTGCTAGTGTCTCAACTGCTATATTTGGCTCTTCTGCTATGGCTCAACTACTATTTTCACCTCTTTTGATGTCTCAACTGCTATGGTAGCAGCTCGCAGTTGAGAAAATAGCCATAGCAGTTGAGAGATCAAGATTGGCAAAATAGCAGTTGATCCATAGCAGAAGAGGCAGACATAGCAGTTGATCACCCCCATAGCAGTTGAGAAATAGCAGTTGATCACTTCTAATAGCAGTTGAGTATTCGCCTACTATTCAGCAATACGAATCAAAACTCCAAACGAGTACTGCGGACCTAGAACGACGTCTTCGAGACGCCGATCATGACATCGAACGTCTCCGCTCTTCTCAATTAGAAATGGCGAATAAATTCGAAGAAGCCTCCCGAGAAAACACTGATCTTCTCTCAAAAATCGATATTCTCCAAGATCAATTGACCCTAGAAGAGGATAAGAGGAAGTTCTGTGAAGAACAAATCGAGCGGTTAAAAGGAGTGGAGAGTTTTGTGGAGAGTAGTAGTCATCAGATAGAAGAGACGCAGAAAGAGAGACAGACAGCTGAAGAAGATAAGGAGCAGGCTGAATTGGAAGCCTCGGAATTGAGGGAGCAGGTGGAGAAGATGCTCAAATTGACTCAAGAATTGACGGAGAGAAATATGGAGTTGCAAAGGAAATTGAGGGTGGAGGAGGACTCCAACAAATCCATGAACTCTAACATTGAGAAATTAACCTCTGAACTTACAACGAGCTACCAGACAATTCGAGAATTCGAAGAGAAAAATATGAAACTATTGGAAGAGCTTGAAACGATTAAACTGGAAGTCGTGTCGAAACCGGTTACGCTGGAAACACTGGAAGAAAATTTTTATCGGGATAAATATGAAGAATGTGCCAAGAAATGTGAGTTCTGGGGTTGCTCAAGTGCTATTGCTCCTGAGAAATAGCACTTGAGAGAAATAGCACTTGAAACTCAAGTTGAGACAGAAGTCATAGCAGTTGAGAGGTGCTATTGTCAAAAGTGATTTTCTGGATCTTGTGCTATAGGTCAAGTGCTTCTTTTCCAATTTCACATCGAAAATAGCACTTGATCTATAGCAGATGAGCCAAAATTTTGAAAATTAGCACATAGCACTTATGAGATATCACTTGAGACGAAAGTCATAGCAGTTGAGACGTTGACAAATGGAAAAATAAGTAGATACTCAACTGCTATGAATTGATCAAGTGCTACATGCCAATTTTCCCAAACTGTGAGTAAGGTGGCTCAGATCTACTGCTATTTGCTCAAGTGCTACGGGGTGATCAAGTGCTATTGGGGAGGTACTATTTTGGTTCTTGTGCTATGGATCAAGTGCTATTTTTTCCAATTTCAATTGCTATAGCACTTGAGACAAATAACATAGCAGTTGAGACATTGAATAGCGCTTGATCTATAGCAGATGAGGCGAAATAGCACCTCCCCCCCCCCCATAGCACTGTACATGAGGCTAAGTACATGAGGCAAAATAGCTTGCTTTGCTCAAGTCCTTTTTTTGGCTCATGTGCTACAGGGTGATCAAGTGCAATTTTTGTCCAACTCAACTGCTATCGCTTTTGTCTCTAATGCTATTTTTAGGGTAGATACTCAACTGCTATGAAGGGATCAAGTGCTATACGCCAATTTTTAGGGGATTGGTGGATTTTTTCGGATTTTTTTTTCGGAAAAACGTTTTCCCGGCAAAAAAAAAACCTTGGAAAAATAACTCGGGAGAAAATTTCTAAAAAAAATTTCACTGAAGAAATTTCGTACTTCCCGATTTTACCGAAAAAAAATTTGGAAAAAATTCGGACTTTTCAGTTTTCCAAAAAAAATTCGGAAAATAGCACTTGAGTAGTTGCCACAATAGCACATGAGAAATAGCACTTGAGACATAAAAGCACTTGATCACCCCATAGCACTTGAGTAGTAAAATTTTCCAGTAGAAGAATTGGAAGCAAAACTAGCCGAGGAGAAGAACAACTTCTCCGCCTACAAAAAGAAGACCAATGCCACTCTGAAAGACCTGAAATCCGAGTTAAATGGCCATCGGAAAACCAACGGATCCTCCGGGGATTCCCATCATGGTCTGGCTCCACACGGATCCTCGGATCCATCCACCTCCTCCAGGTCCAGAGCCAGTTCCATCACCAGTATAGATAGGGTAACAAGTACATCGAGGGAAGAGGAAATGAGCTCATCGGCTGCTGGGGAAGAAAGATTGGAGCACGAGGAGCAGAAACAGAATATCCAACAAGTGATGATCGATAAAATTGTGATCCTCCAACGGAAATTGGCGAGACGGACGGAGAAATGCGAGTTTTTGGAAGAGCATGTCAGACAGTGTTTGGAGGAGTTGCAGAAGAAAACGAAGATCATTCAACACTATGCTCTTAGGGAGGAGGCGTCACTTCTCATGCCTTCTGAGGTGTCCATTGAGAAGGTAATTTGAATTTTTGAAGACTTTTGAGATTTGAAAAAAAATTTCAGTTATTCGCAAGTTGCGAATTTGTTCAAGTAAGTTTGAAGGTGTTGTGATGTGATTTGTGGAGTGAGGATTTGCCTCAAAGGCGCAGCGGTGTGTCCATTTCAAGCAAGCGCGCTCTGCTGCGAATTTCTTGGTTTCCGGAGGGAAATTGAAATTTTTACAGTTCTAAGACTGCTTTCTGATAAAATTTTAGATGAAAAACAGATTGCCAAAAAAAAACTGCATGTTCAGACCTGCGGCAAAAAAGCCGCTTCGCTTCTGAAAACACTGAATCTAGACGTGCCGGGTGAAGTAAAACAAGTAGAAAAACAGTTTCCCGCCAAACTCAGTGTCGTCAAGCGCGCTGCGGTCGCGTTTGCGTGTGCCGCAGCCGTCTCATCTGCGGCAAATAGTGGTGAGGTTGTCGCTCAGCGCCGCCCATGTCTGAAAAAAAAAAGAAAAGATATACCAAAAATGCCCATTTGCATGAAGTTTTGCGATTGAAGACCATCGAAAAATTGATTTTTTTTTAAATCTAATTTTTCGAAAAAAATACGAAAATCGACGAAAGCTAAGATTTTTCCCCATCATATCCGGTACAGCGAGCCTGAAATTTGAATCGCCGTGCGATTAGAGCGGAGCGCACTTGCTTGAAATCGACGCGCTGGTAGTCAGTGAATGCGATAGATTTTTCCGGAAACAATCGCGTGCGCCTTTGAGGTTGGGAATTTCAGTGCCAAGTTATGTGATATTATGGCGATAAGTGTAAAAACAAGTGCTGGCCGAAGATCCGACAATTTGACGGCCCCGATATCTCACCACGAAAACTACCGTATAAATTTCATTGCTATCGTAAGATTCTTAATCAATTTCCATCGATTTTCAGCGGTTTTCTAGCTCTTCCTCGAGAAAAATATAATATTCGTTGAAAATCGCTGAAAATCGATGAAAATCGATAAATATTACGGTAGCAATCAATTTCATACGGTAGTTTTTTGTGGTGAGATATCGAGGTCGTCAAGTTGTCAGATCTTCGGCCAGCACTTGCTTTTACACTGATTGCCCTAATAATTCAAAAAATCTTCGAATTTTCCAACTTCCCCGATTCAGTAATACCTCCCTGACCCGACTAAACCACCAAACACCGCACCTGACATTTCCAACTTTTCTTACTTTTCTCACTTTTCCCTTCAGGTGCCAATTCTCCGAAAAAACAGCGCTTACGCTCTGATGGGTGCCATGTTCACCTCTTCCGGCAGTGAGAAGAAGCAATCGCAGATATTGACGGAAGTGAATTCACGTCTTCAGGCCGTTCTTGAGGACGTCATTCAGAAGAACATTTGTATGAGAGTGAGTTTTGAAGGGATCAGAAAACATTTCGGTGGAAGGGTAAAAATAGAAACGGAAGCTATAGCAGTTGGCTATAGCATTTGATTCATAGCAGAAGAGCCAAATATAGCAGTTGATCACCCCCATAGCAGTTGAGTATTTGCCGGATGTTTGGGGTGTCAGAACCCCTATGAAATTTACTGCTATTTTCTCAAGTGCTATTGCTCTTGAGAGAACATTGGGAAAATAGCAGTTGATACAGTAGATTTCATAGCAGTTGAGAATCAGCCACGCAACAGCCGGCCGGTAAAAATTTCCGAAAAAATGTTTTTGAAATAACGGAAATCCCGGAAATTTTTCACGAGATTTTTTTTCCGGGAAAAAATTTTCGGACGGAAATTTTTCTGTCCGGAAAATTTTCCGAATTTTTTTTGCCGGGAAAATGGGAATTCCAGAATTTTTTCGAATTTTTTTTTCGAAAAAACAAAAACCCCGGATTTCTTATCCGAATTTTTTTTCGAGGAAACGGAAATCGCGGAAAAAAATTCGTTTTTTTTTCGGGAATTCCAGAAATTTCTCCGAAATTTTTTTTCGGAAAAACGGAAATCCTGGAAATTTTTCCGAGACATTTTTCGGTAAAACCGGAAGTTCCTGAATTTCTCCCAATATTCTTTCTCTAGTATTACCGGAACTTTTTCCGAGATATACATATTTTTACCGGGAATTTTTTTTGCCGAGATTTTTCCTGGAAAAAAGTCAAAAACCCTGAAAATCTTCGGGATTTCGGTTTTTTTATTCCCGTTTTTCACATAAATCTGGTTCCCACAATTGTCAGATGGAATCCGAGTGTGGAATTTTTCCGGAAAATCGGAATTCCCTTTTCCCGATTCCTAGCAATCCCTTCAGCTTTTAGAGATGATTTTCGGCATTTTTTCCACAAAAAAATAACTTTCGTCCCTCAAAAAATCGATAATTTTTCTTCCAGAGCACCGTGGACACCCTCACCGCCGACAACACCCGTCTCTCCCGGGAGAACCGTCTGCTAAGCTTGTCACAAGTTCGATCACAGGACCAATAACTCTTTTTTTTTCATTTCGAGTTACTTCTCCGTGCCTTTTCTGTCCTCATCCTTTTCCCCCTCTTTTTCCATTTCCCTGCTCCGTCATATCCCATCGAAGCCAGCCAAAATAAAGTGACTAACTTGAATATCCCACCTGGGTCCCCCACGAAGCTCCGCCCCTTTTTTTGGGAAGAGGGGCTCCATTAGGGTACACTTCACTTCATTCGTGAAATTTCATTCCATTTCCATAAAATTTTTCCGGTTTAACACATTTCTCTATGCCGTTTCACTTGGCAGTCGGACTCTCGAATTGTGAGCAAGTTTTCGAGCCGGGCGGTACGATTGAGGGATATGTGACGTTCGATTTGAGGGAGAGTGTTAAGGTATGTACTCTAATTGAACGGGAAATGTGGGCAAATACTCAACTGCTATGGGGGTGATCAACTGCTACATTTGGCTCTTTTGCTATGGCTATAGCAGTTGGTCCATAGCAGAAGAGCCAAATATAGCAGTTGAGACACTAGAAGTTACAACATAGAAGTTGATCACCCCCATAGCAGTTGAGAAATAGCAGTAGAGACACATAGCAGTTGAGTATTTGCCAGGTTTTTACTCTTACTACACATGAAATATGCGCTCCGTGGCTTAGTGGATAGCACAGATGTTTTGGAAATTTTCATCGCGGGTTCAAACCCCATTGGGGTCAAATTCTTTTTTCTTTTTTTTTACATTTTTTTTGAGATCAGGAACAATTTCAGTACTTTTTCCTTATCATTTTTTGTAAAAACAAGAATTTTTGAGTTTTGGGAAAATCGAAAAGTTTGAAATTCCGGAAATTTTTCTCGGAATATTTTTATTAATTTTTGCTCCGGTCACTTCGCGGCTAACGTCGATTTTGCAACTACGGCATTTTGCATCTAGGTCACTTTGCAACTTGCCAATTCGTAACTGTGACGTTTGGCAGCCGGACGTTTCGCAACTACGACATTTCGCAACTAAAACAAAACGACGTAGGAGGTCAGTTTCCCAAGTCGGTTGCGAATTGGCAAGTTGCCAAGTGACGCGGAGCCTTTTTCCACTTTTTTCAATTTTTTTTCAATTTCAAGCCCAAATTGCATTGAAAAATCACATGTCATAAGTAGGGCTTCAATAAAATATTTCCCGGTTTTCCCTTGTTTCTTTCCCGGAAAACTCTCCGATCGGGATCATAAATATCCGGAATTTTCGATCCCGAGTAATTTTCTCTCAGGTTCTGCTACTCAAATCCTTGGTAGATACTCAACTGCTATAAAATCTACTGCTATATCTCAACTGCTATGGGGGTGAGCAATAGCACTTGATCACCCGGTAGCACTTGAGAAAATAGCGGTGAATTTTATAGCGGTCCTAGTTTCTGACATCCCAAACATCCGGCAAGTACTCAACTGCTATGGGGGTGATCAATTGCTATGTTGTAACTGCTAGTGTCTCAACTGCTATGTTTGGCTCTTCTGCTAATTTCGCCACTTTTGATGTTTTAACTGCTATCGCTATTGTTTCAATTGCTATGGCCATAGCAGTTGATTCATAGCAGAAGATCCTAATATAGCAGTTGAGACAATAGCTATAGCAGTTGATCACCCCCATAGCAGTTGAGAAATAGCAGTAGAGATAAATATCAGTTGAGTATTTGCCTTCCAGGTAAAAGCGATCCGAATCTCCGGTGAGGGTCTTGCCACAACCAAATGGCTCCTTTCGGAGAGCTCCAAATCCTCTCATGGACGGTCTCGTGAGGTCTCCTACTCTGCAAAAGTCACCTATCTCGATGAAGATCAAATGGTATGGAAACCATCAGAAGGTCACTCAAAATCCTCCGTCTTCCCTGGAATCCACGTTTATCCATTCAAATTTCAAATTCCCGTCGGAGTCCCCCCGAGTTTCGAAGGGGATCATGGAAATATCAGGTATCACGTGAAGGCAACCGTGGAGAGACCATGGAAAACCAATCGATCCGTCACAAGGTACTTGACAGTTTTGCCATCGAAGGACTTGAATAAAGAGGTCACTGCTGCTGAGGAGACCAGCAGTTGGAAGAGTAAAAAAGTCGGATTCTTCTTGTTTCGGTATGGAAAAGTCAATTTGCAGGTAACCGAAAAAAAATTTTTTTTCAAAAAAAAAATTTCTTGAAGATCCGCATCCCAAAGAAAGGATATGTGCCGGGAGAGACCATCTATATTGATACCAATATCGATAATGCGTCTTCACGACCGGTTCTGAAGGTATGGTAAGGTTGCTCTAGTGATCATTTTGGCTATGATTTGTTTCCCGGGTTTTTTGTTTTTCGGGGCTCATGGAAGTATCCGGGACAGTCCCGGGAATTCATTTTTTGGATCCTGAAAAATATTTTTTGGGATCCCGGAAAAGTTGTTTTGATTCCCGAAAAATATTTTTCGAGTCCCGAGAATTTTATTCATACAAGGAAAATTTTTTTGGGTTCCGGGCATTTTTTTTTGGATCGCGGATTTTTTTATTGAGTCCGGAATGACCTATTTTGAGTCCCGGTTTTTTGGAATTCCGGAATTTTTTCCGAATCTCGTAATTTCTTCTTGAATTCCGGTAAGTGATTTTGTGACCCGGAAATATCTTCCAAACCTGGAAAAGTTTTTGAGTACAGGGATTATATTTTGAGTTCCGAGAATTTTTGCGGAATCCCGGATTTTTTTTCGGAATCTCGGAAAATTTTTTCTGATAGTGAGTGCCGGAATTTTTTTGAGTCCCGGGGTTCCATTTTGAGTTCTGCGAATTTTTCGGAATCCCGAAATCTTGATTTTGGAATTCCGGGAACTATCTTTTAAGTACCGGAAAAATATTGTGGGTCCGTGGAATTTTTTTCCAATTCCGGAATTTTTTTTTTGTTGAAAACCCGGGAAGTTGTCTTCGTGTCCCGGAAATTTTCGTTGAGTACCGGGAATTTTTCCAATCCCGGAAAATATTTTCGAGTCCCGGGATATTTTTTTTCTGAGTCTCGGTTATTTTCGCGGAACTTTTCATCTAGTCCCCGAAAAAAGTTTTGGGTCCCAGGGTTTTTTGAGTCCCGGAAATACTTTTTGAATCCGGGGAAATTTTTTGGATTTCTGGAAAATGTTTTTTGTATCCCGGAAAGTTCATTTTTAGATTTCCGGAAAATATCTTTTGAGTCCTGAGATTTTTTCTGGATCCCGAAAAAAAATTTTTTTTTGAGTTCCAAAAATATTTTTCGAATCCCGGAAAAATTGTTTGGATCCCGGGATTTTTTATAACGTCCCGGAAAATATTTTTGAATCTCGGAATTTTCATAAAGTCCCGGGAAACTCTATTATTCGAATCCCGGGATTTTTTTTCGGAATGCCGGGGAAACATTTTTTGAGCCCCGGAAAATGTATTTTTTTCATCCCTGAAATTTTTTTTATAACTCCGGAATTTTTTTTGAGCCTCGGAAAAGATTTTTTCAGTCCCGGGAAATATTTTCTAATTTTTTTTTTTGGAATTCCGGAAAAAAAATTTTTTGAATCCCGGGAATTTTTTTCCGAACCCCGGAAAATACTTTCTGAGTCCCTGGATTTTCCCATGAGTCCCAAAAAAATTTTGAAAAAATGAAACAATTTGAAAAAATTTACAGGCCGAATGCTACCTAATCCAACAATGTCGGTTCCTTGCCTATCGCTATGGGATAGCTGGCCCGACGGATGGTCGTCGTGCATCATCCCTATCGGAAAACGACAGATACCTCTCCAGGAAACGAGACGAAATAAAAATTGTCTCGGTGATCCATGAGATGCAAATCGAGCCGCGTACGGATCACAAATCAAAGATGCGTCTGAAGATCCCATGCACCTGTCCGACATTCGACAGCACTCTAATCCACGTGGAATACTTTGTGGTGGTCAAACTACATGTAAAGTGTCGTATCAGGAATACGGTGAAGGCCGAGTGCCCAATTATAATTGGGTCAAAGCCATTGAAAGATGAGAATGTGACACCGAGAACACCTACGTATCAGGAGGTCGCCACTTTCTCGGCGTTGACTCATCGGAGTATGCAGGCGGTGGATGAGGTAAATAGTTCAGAGCGGAATATCTCAGTTGTCTTTAGAGCTATCAAAAAGTGGTCAACTAAAGAAATGTTGAGCACAGCATTTTGAGCATTTTACCAGTTGAACATTTTCTGCTAGCTTTGAAAGCAACCGAGATATGCAGCTGTGAGCAAGCAGTACTATGCAATATTTAGTGATCCATGTTCAGAGCTGCATATCTCGGTTGTCTTCAAAGCTATCAAAAATTGATCAATTAGAGAAATGTTAAACAAAACATTTTGAACATTTTTCTAATTAGCCACTTTTTGATAGCTTCAACGTCAACCGAGATATACTGCTCTGAACATTAGGTACTGGTGAAGCCACAGGGTCCCCAACAGTGTGGTAAATGCGCTTTACTGAGAGAAAACAGAATTCACTGTATAATTTCACTCTCCCTTTCTTCCAGAAACTCACCCCCAAATACGTTTTCTACCCGAAATATGGGCGGTCCCGAGACGAAGATGCGGATGAGCCGCCGAGTTTGAGTGAGCTACAACTTCCACCAATCGATTCTTTGTCTGATGATGACTGATAATTTTTTAATGTGTTTTGTTTCCCATGGAAATTATATTTCTTATTTTGTGGAAAAATATTTTATTGAAGTTACAAAATAAAACCAGAAATTACAATTTTGCTTTATCAAGAATTTTGGTGACAGCACAGGAACGTCTAGTGCTTATTTCTACAGTAGGAAAAACAAAGAAAAATAGAGATCGGAGAAATTCGTTTGGAATTTTAATACAGCAAATGAAACACATGAAGCTAACTAGCGAAGCCAGAAATTGGGGGGGGGGGGGAGTGAGGTACAGTCATCAGGTCTCAGGGAGACCGTCAGACTGAAGAAATGAGGGGCACACTGGCCCTTATATACTGGGGGAGTGAGGGGGCGGGGCGACGGGATTAGGTTTCTAGAACCTTCCCATTGTCCTGCTGGGGTTTCCCTTGATTGGGTAATTATGTGTTATAATTGGCGGTGTTTCTTTGACCTTTTGTTTTTCTGTCATGACCTGTCACAGTGTAAGTTGTCAAAGGTGAAGGAACAAGGGATTCCTTCACGTCAGGAACAATAGGACAATAGGAACGGTAACAGAGATTATTGACAGGTCCTTCACCCATGGAAATTTCTGGAAAACCCTCCTGGGAATCCCCAAAAGCAACCGGGAAATCCCCGGAAAATTATCGGAAAACCCCCGGAAAAGGCCAGGAGAAAATCCCGGAAAAATTTCCGGAAAGCAACCGTCAAAACGGTCCTGTTATCACTCTAACCTTCAAGTACTTTTCATTATTCACACGAAGAAAAAAACAAGGTATATGTCAAAAATGTACAAAAAAGTGAATTTTGATTTGTTTCTGGTCCGAGTGGTGTCGTTGAATAATTTCCAGTGTGTGAACATTGAGCAAAAAAGAGAAACAGGGAGCAACCATTAGAGAGGGGAAGGGAATACGAAATAATTCAAACATATATATTCTGCCCGTAATCAATAATCATCGGCAGAAGAAGAAGAAGGTTACATTCAAAAAATTCAAAAAAAGAAATACAAGATCTGGAAAGATTTTGGCAAAGAGCATGGATTCAAAATATAAATCGTTGTTTGTTTTTGTGAAGAAAAAAG